CCTTCGGTGGACATTGTTCGAGTGCTGGGGCTGGGTGCGTAGGCGTCGCTCGGTTCGAGATGCACGAGATGGAGATTTATCAGAAATGCGCGTCAGATCGTCGAGTGTTTCGCATCGGTCTTACTGCTGGGATGCAGCTGCGTCATCGCCCCGGCGTCTTTGCAAACTGTTCTAAACTGAAGCAACTTTGGCATGGGCAGGTGAGCCAGGCTCATCTCCAAAGAGTCCACCTTCTACGTCAAGCAGACTCCAGATCTTCACTGGCGCCCTTTCTTCTTCGCCACTCACAAGGATCAGATGTCAAATCGAGGTCTAGGATATGAACCCGCTGGAGGCAAACATCACAAATGTCTAGTCCTCCCCTGTTGTACAAACACGTGGAAGCAGAGGATTCTCCTTGCAGTGTAGCACCCAGAAACAAAGATTCAAAAAGATAGTGGTTCCACATCCACATGTTGTCCGCAAAGTTCTGAAAGTCATCTGTCGCCTCAAATCCTGCACAAGTCACTTTCTAAACGATGATGGCGCAAAAAATGGCGACATGCTGCACCCGCGACAGAAAGGAATCATGATTTTAACGAGAGAAACATGAGCTGGTGTCCGTGAGAGACGACAGGAATTGAAACGGAGGCCAAATGCGAGCCATTTTGCAGTCTGTGAGAAGAACAAACTCTGGAATTGGTACAGCCTTGAGTAGACTTAGAACTAATTCTTTGTTCTGGGTGTCGAGGACAGAAATTAGCAGCACTTTGTAGAGCACTTTTCCCTCAGCTATCTGTATTGACTGGTTGTCCACGTGAGATGCTCTTCAAACAAAATGAGACCTCTTCTATTAGACAGGACACGTTCGATGTAATTCTTAGAGCTCTGTCAATTATTCCTTAGAAGGAGATAGTTATGTGACCAGACTTCCAATCAATTGGACTTGTACCTGAAATTAGTCCATCCGCTTTTGTGAAAGAAGTTCTGTGGTAAACATTTTCCGGGCTAGACGATAGTGGTCATTCAAAGGACTCCATATTAGATCCTGAGCTTTCTTGAACACCATGTCTACCATAACCTCCGAAGGGCGAGACGCAAATATGTGATCTTGAATCTTCAAAATCTCCCTGGCCACATCCGAAGAAGTTACAACCACAACATTTACAGCTCCCAGTTCCAGCCACACTATGGGTCCATATTTTTCAGCGATTGTGGCGAGGGAGTGGTGAGGCATCCCGAATGAAAGGTGATGGAAATGTCCAATCAATGGCAACGATGGGGTCCCAGGAGGTCGTTCCCCGCCCGTATATCTTACACTCTTGAAAACCTTCAGCTGGACGTACAGGAAAACCAGTGCTGCCAGAAATTGCACAGACCCGCCCGTGAGTACGGCAATGAGGTCCTCCATATCTCTCACCTCTATGGCTTGTGCAACGCGGATGAAAGCCCCTGACTAAAACAATGACTCCCCCGATATCAAGGCCAAAACACGGGATGCCACAATATGTGGTATTTGAAGTGTCACTGCAAGCTAACCATGCAGACGCACATGCGCAGGCTGACTTTGATTGTCCGGTGGTCGAGACTAGTCTTCTTTTTTTATTACTAATTTTTCCAGGATAATTTATCATATGTGGGAGGAACGAGGCACGAAAAGAAAAAAATTAAAAAAGAATGAGGAAAAAGAGATTGCAACACAGACATGCGATCAATGGAGCCCCTATATGAGTGGCTTGGCGCAACGTTGGATTCCGCTCGTGCACTTCATAGTATAGTTGATAGAGTAGAGTTCAGAATCGAGTAATTAAACAACATTTAACTGAGCATTTATATAAGCATCATAAAAAGAGCTTCTCTATGGCCAACGAACATGTTTTCTACTTTTTAAATATCTCATTGAAAAGAGACAGCAGGCTAATTATTATAGGTCGATTGTCAGTGATACTTTTTTTGGCGTTATTGCCAGGTTTTAGATGTCACCTCTATTATCTAAGAGAGAAATATCAGTACGGGATTTTTGTCTCTTGGACACAGTCCAACTACCCGTTGCACAAAAGCAATGGAACGCATTGGATACTAGATCATTCGAATACTGATAAACGTGATTATAAAAAATCTTCCAATTTCTATTCTTATGAAATCTTCGATAACTTGTAAAGATTGATGTAAGAAACATATACATGAATAAGCAGAAGGTTTCTGGTACATAGTTGCATAGATGGCATCAATGAAAATATCTAATCAAATTCTTATATACTGACAAGGACATTATCGTAAAAAGTATACCTAAAAATATGCCCGATCGCAAGCGGCTCTTAATCAATGTGAATGTGTTTAATCCTTATTCCGCCTACGACGCCCTGTTTGATAAGATACGCATTAAAGTTAAGGTATATTTTATGGTTTTAAGAGTATCAAAATAATAATTGCATTCCTCTGAGCGTCCTTACAAACTTTTATCCTCGAGATGAATCCCAGATTATGATTCGACAATTTCAGGTGCTCTAGAAGTACGAGAAGTTGCCGTTTTGAGAAAATATACTAAATTCCTTAAGACATGTGAAAACTAACAATGCGAGCTAAAAGTTCCACCTCTTGAAATGATGAAATAATCAGTAGAGAATCTAATGATATCCAAGTTATCAGCCAACTAGCATGAGAAAAGCTTTCATCCCTAATTTCCTGTTTTCTATAATCATATAAAGACTGCCATTCAAGTACCTTAGTACTCTCTTCAGACATCTCCAATGTCATGCAGTTGGAACATTAGTGTATCTGGCTAGAGCTCCCATGAAGTAAGTTATTTCTGGTTTTGTACTCACCATAGCAAACACGAGTGAACCTAGTGCAGTCTGCCATAGGAATTGCAAGTCTTCAATGGTTTCCGTGCTAGTTTCATCGATCTCCTTCATCAACCTGCAGCCATGTTCCAAGGAGGTATAGACAGGTTTGGTATTTTCCATTTTCTACCTATCTCCAATGTACTTGGTTTGGCTCAATCTAATCCATACTTCCTTTCTGTTTCTGTCAATGTGGACCTAGAAGAAACTTTACCGTACTTGATACTGTAAAAACCCGTGACAAAAGTGTCTTACTCCCTTCCCTATCAACAAAAAATCATCAACGTAAACTATTTTCAAGAGTTCTTCATTCTTAATGAAGGCACTCAAGTTTGAGTGTGCTCTCATGAAGGCTTGCATCCTCATATAAGCATCAAGCTTATGGTAGCAACTCATAGGAGCTTGCTTTAGCCCATACAAGGCTTTTCTGAGCAAGCAAACTTTCTCAGACTTGGAGTGGCCATATGGTACATCCTTGTAGATTTGTTTCCCCTAATTTCCATTCAACAATGCTGTCATCAGATCTAGTTGCTAGATCTCCCACTTATTTTCAACTGCTAGAGCTAACAACATTCTGATAGATCACACCTTGCAACAAGAATGTAGGTTTAAAGGTTGTCTACATCAGGTTGTCAATTGTATACCCTGGCTACTCATCTTGCACTCTACTTCAGAATTTCACTAGCAATTCCTCTCTTCACCTTGAAGTTTCATCTGCGTCCAATTGTGCAAGATCTCTTCCGGTTGGAAAATTTACAGATTTCCATGTGCAATTTACTTTTTTGAGATTTTTTCTCTTCAATTACAATTGCTTTATTATATATGGATGAATAGCATGTTTGTAGAGAAGCTCTTTTTATGATGTTTATATAAATGCTTATTTAAATGTTGTTTAGGTAATCGATTCTGATATCTACGTTATCTACTTTACAGTAAAGTGCACGAGCGGAGTCGAACGTGCGTCCAGCCATTAAAATACGGTCTCCGTTGATCGCATGTCTCTGTTGCAATTTTTTTCTTAATCCTTTTTACTTCTTTCTTTTCATGCCTCGTTTCTCTCACCATCTGATACACTTTCCTATAAAAGATAAAACACTTCCCGAACATACGTCGAACGTAGGCCAAGCCAATTAATAAGCCGACTTTTTTTTAGATCACTTTTACAGAACAGGGGACAATCAAAGTGTGTGTCTGCATGCTTAGGTTGCAGTGATTCTTCAAATACCGCATACAGTATTGTGGGATCCTGTGTTTTGGCCTTGATAGTCAGGGAAGTCACTGTTTCAGTCTCGGGCTTTCATCTGCGTTGCACAATTTTGTGATGGACATTGGTCGTAGTAGTGGCCCATCTCTTGTCGATGTCGATTGCACTGGCCGGTTATCATGCTTGCAGGTTGAAGCAAATTAGCACAGCACGCACAATCTATCCAGGTGATGAGCAGAATTGGGGACAGGAACCCACATCAATCCATGTACATAAGGTTCCCCAGATTCGGGAGGCAGGTTTCCAAACAGTGGGAAGAATTGGAATCCGGTTCTTGTAGAGCTGGAGGATGGGAACCCAAGACCTGAAATCGAAAAGGTCGAATATGTAAAGCTGACCCGACACTCGACCTGCTCACTCGTGGTTGCCCATCTAGAGCCTACCGTAACGCAGTAATAGCTTCACCGCACACCATGGTCAGTCTAGAGGGAGTCACAGTGGTTCGAACTCCACTTTCCCCGGTCGGTTGGGGTAACTGTGGATGCTGGGTCGCCGGGAAGTTACACTCACACGAAAGAGGTGCCCTCGACGATATTCCCAGGCACCGGCGAAAACCGGAGCCACACTTGACCGGCTTCCACCGGTGATTCCTCTCATTCCTTGTTCATGTTCTAAATGCCTTCTTTTCTAAATCCATCGAAACTCCTTCAACCGCGTTACTATTAGCCGGTTCTGCCCTTCCTGCCGGTGGCCAAGACCGGTAACGTTGCAGGCAACGTGGCTGCACTACTCACCTGTCCCACCGGGCGACGGTGGCCGGAAAGCGGCGGCATTGCTGGAGCAAGCCATGGCATGGCATGGAATAGCATAGCATAGCATAGCATGGCAGGGCATGGCATGGGAGTCCCTCGATAAGGTGGCGCGGGATGCCGTCGACTTATCTGCGTCGGATAACGAGGGAGAGGCGGGGACGGAGGGGCCCGAGGGCCCTGTACACAAACGAGCCCAAGCAGTCGGACGAGAAGAAGCTCGGGGCGCAGGCACACAGAGGCTGCGCATCGAGGCACACATTCTGCGATTCGCGATCGATCATGGCTATGGCGGGCGCACTGACGCAGGTCACTCAGGCCTTGTCCAAGGCATCCGTCTCGTGCGCGGCCCCGGCCGTGTCATGCTCGTCGTCCTCGTCGTCCTCGTCGACCTCGTCCAGGAGTGGAGTGAGCTTGAGCTCGTCGCTGTGGTGCAACACCGATTCGTTGAAGAGGAGGTGCGAGAATGTGGCCGCAGCTGCTTCGAGCGTGAGGAGCACTTCGGCAGTGTTGATGGGAGATGACTACGAGGAGTCTGAGGAGGAGGTGACCGCTGCCTACGAAGCTCTGTATGGAAAGGCCTTCGGTGCCAGCAAAGGTGGCGAGAAGAAGTGGGAGTCCACGGACGACAAGGATGCCGAGGGCGACGATGCCCCGTCTGGCAGGCGTAGAGGTAGAGCGGCTGATGGCGATAAGCCCAAGAGAGATGGTGACAGGTCTGGAAGGGGCGGCCCCAGAAGCGAATTCGAAGAGCGCGTCGTGCAAATTCGAAGAGTGACCAAGGTCGTGAAGGGTGGTAAGCAGCTTTCCTTCCGCGCCGTCGTTGTGGTCGGTGACAAGAAGGGCAAGGTCGGTGTTGGTTGTGCCAAGGCCAAGGAGGTTATCACTGCCGTGCAGAAGTCGTCTGTCAATGCCAAGCGCAATCTCGTCACTGTCCCCATGACCAAATACAAGACCTTCCCTCACAGGTATGTTTTTGCTGATCTTCTTCCTGTTAGCTAACCTGAATTCCAGCATAGATGAGCTATTTCCAAATTGGTGCATCACCAAAATGTTCTTGCCAAGTTTCTGCTCTAGAACCTGAATTTAATGTGGGTGGGCATTCTCTGCTTTGCTTTGAACCTTGATTGTGTATAGACTCCGCTCACATTGTACTTAGTAGAATCCTCAGGCTGCGATACTCTCTGTCCCTGCACTCAGTCTGTCTTCCACCAATTTTCATGTTCACATTTCTCTCATCTCCATTGATATTTGTGCTTGGACCCCCGTTTTTGTGACATCAATGTCTGTCACATATATCGGCGTTTCTGGCAGGATACAAATCAGTGTAGTGTCTGAATCCTGAGTGTAGGTAGGAGAATTTGCAAGTTACCAACGAGATTGGCGTTCTTGGTAGGATACGAATTAGTGTAGTGTCTGACTCCTGAATTTAGGTAGGAGAATTTGCAGGTTGTTAACCTGATTGGGAACCTGAGAGCAACAATTAGGTCACAGGTTTATGTTTAAGTTCAGGACGTATGCGTTCAGGAATACAACAATATACTTTGTTATTGCTCCTGTTATTCTACAAGTAAAAGAATCTTGTACAGACCTTGTCCCTGGAATGTTTAGCATGAAGAGGTGAAGAATCCCTCTCTCTATGTCGAGTGTTTATATTCACCTTCGGTATACTTTGCCTTGCAGAGCGGACGGTAACTACGGAGCTGCCCACGTCATGTTGAGGCCTGCCTCTGTCGGAACGGGAGTTATTGCCGGAGGATCTGTCAGAGTTGTGTTGGAGTTGGCAGGAGTAGAGAACGCTCTAGGGAAGCAGATTGGAAGTGAGAACCCTCTGAACAACGCTCGTGCAGTTGTTGCAGCTGTATCGAGCATGAAGCAGTTCAGCGAAGTAGCCAAGGACAGAGGAATCCCCATGGAAGAACTCTGGAAGTAGACTCAATGTTTTGTATGTTTTAAGTTTAGGAGAACTTAGATCAACGGTGCCAACGCATTTAGAGGTCACAAACTTCGGAGGTGTGTCATGCACTTTCAAGTCTTGTCCACCGTTTTTAAGGTCAGTTAAAGTGTTCCAATCAAAGATAAGGAAGTTGAACTCGAACTGGGTGTCTGGAGCTACGTATCAGGTTATGGCTCATGATGTAAAGTGATCCTTTTATGAGGGGCTTGTTAGCTCCCACTTCGCGGGAAACAACCTTCCTGCGTCCAAATTTTTTTGAAGGCTGTAGCCTCGCACTACCAAATATCTCCGAGCTTTTGCCCAAAAATCGTAGCATCAGTGTAGGACTCGACTAGAGACTCGATTTTTTGCTTCAGTCATGAGATAATCAAAACCTTAATCGTGTACTTTTGTCCAGTATGTCGTTGAAATTGCTGTACAAAAGCTACCGGATGCCTTCAGGGGTGTGTAGTGTTTGATCATTGAATATTGAAAGTCCACTGCAATTCTCCCGCAACTGCTCTAAATCTACTGGACTCGCCCTGCACATTAAAAAAGATTTCACTGTTTTGACCTGGATGTACTGAAAGATCCTAGAGTGGACAGAAACTGAGCTGACTGAAAGCACATCGAATTCTCTGGTAGTACGAAAAAATCCGCCCGGAAGGTCAAAGGGACGTGGTGAATCGTATGTACACCATGGCGCAAAGTGACACGATTAGAAATATTAAGTCTGTCTAATTGCAATTTACTCAAACATTTAATCCCCTACCCGATTTGCCAAACTTTTCCATGAAGTTGTTGAGCGGAAATAGTGTCTACCATGGCCTTTCAGAGCACCAGTAATGTCCATTGTGAAACTATGTGCGGACCATATGCTGGATCCCCAGACCTGAGATACTTGCACATGGCTTGACGAGAGTATACCATTCTTTACAAATATTCTCTCCCTGGCATCTTGATTCTTTTGGACGTGTACTCTGTTACTGTGTTATCACCAGGCCTCTCTATATAGGGCGGGTTCTATGCACAAATTTATAACGGAAAAGGTTTTGTTGGTTTGAAGATTACCAGGCCTCTCTATATAGGGCGGGTTCTATGCACAAATTTATAACGGAAAAGGTTTTGTTGGTTTGAAGATTACTGAAGAAATGGTTGGTCATAAATTTGGAGAGTTTGCTTCTACACGGAAAACCTCTTCCTTAGGTAAGAGAGCTTTGCCCCTAAAACCAAGATCAAACCAATCAAAAAGGATTCCATATGTTACACATCTCCACAAAATAAGGATAATTCTCAAATCAAAATACGGAATATATGGAACTTGTCAGTTTTCGGCCGAATTTGTCGACAATATAATACACCTTCGAGAGAAATGGGTGTTATCTTTGATCTCTGAATATCCTTTTCCCACTTTAGCAAGGAGAAATCACTCTCCACACTGTTGAAATGTTCAAAATTGGTGAAACTAATATCACGAAAAACTCCATGAGTTGAAGAAATCTATTCTTGAATCCTGGAATCAGACTTTTCAATCAACAGATTTTTGTGCATCTAGAACATCGACTTCTTTATGTTTTGTGTTCACTATTTTATCTATGTACTTTTGTTTCCGAGAAAATTTGAGACTATCTTGATATTTAAGAACTAGTTGAATATTATTTTGTGTTTTCAAAGCTACAAGTGAATGAGATAACCAAGGAAACAAAATACTAGAACTTGGTTGAACTCATCAGGTGTCGCCGCACAGTTTTAGTCAAGTACACAGCTAGTTTCTCTAGTAAAGTAGCGGTAATCAACAAAGAAATTGTCACAAAAGATCACGGCAAAGATTTAGCTGAATATTTATGTAAGTTTCTCTAGTAAAATCACCTACATCAACAAAGATTTGTCAAAAATTGTCACCCTAAAGTTTTAGTTAAATGACTCGGTTAGTTTCTCTAGTAAAGAAACATAGACAACAAAGACTTTTTGTTGGAAATACAGAACTTTGTGAAAACGAAATACGTCACTTTGGCCCTCCCTCAAGTTCCGAATGTGCCGTTTTTAGAGAGGCCTGGTTATCACTGATAACCAGGGCACACTCTCGGCGCCCAAACATCCGAATGGAAAATAGCGTGACGAGGTAAGAGGGGGCAGTTGCTTCAAGCCCAAGTACTCCATTCGGCAAAGATGGCGAATCTGAGTCCAGAGTCAAATGCAAATGCCAGCCAAAAGAGAGTCCGGGTCAAAACGCATCTGAGACACAGCACAAATAGGGCCCTCAACATCCATCCCAGGAAGGCCGGGCAGCTCGATCTACCGAGAACGGTCAAACTCCCTCTCACCAACCAAATTTGCCCCAATTCCTTCCAAGGACGATGATTCAACCTTCTCAACACAAAATCTTTTACAGGCCGCTGCCCGAGTACGCCATATATCTTCTTCTTCCCGTCTAGTCCAGCTCACAAGTGTCATGTGAGGAAAGGGCTTCTCAAGGAGAACAGTATCTGCTCGTTTGGCTTGACGACATGAGCCACATCAGTCCTGAGTCCTAAGTCCTGGCTCATTCTCCTCAGCTCAGACTCCATCGCTCCACTATCTGATCCTCCCTCCCTGCACATTGTTTTCATTTTGCTTGACTGACCCTCCTGAAGTTGTTTTCATTCTTGCAGCGATGGAAGTCTTTCCATGCCCAAGAGTCTTCGGTATCCGGACTCTTTGTCAACTGGCCGCCCGCTGACCAGTGAGCTCGAGAGTCCTGCACAGTGCAGTAATCTCAAGCAAGCTCACCTTCAGTCTCAGGATGCTATTTTCAGACAAGCCAATGCTGCGATGGCGGGCGAGAGAGCAGACTTAAGGCACAAACAGGACTCAGATGCCCCAGGAATCGTCCTCATCTTCTTCTTTTTCTTCTTCAAGGTCGTCGTGTGAGGATGGGCCCGGCCAGATCAATGTGCAACGACAAATTGCTGCTGATCTCTCCATGCATCACATTGTCAACTCCTGGGCTCCTGGATGATCATGACCAGCGCAGATCTTTCGGTCTCATCTCTCTGTCCAGATGTCTGCAATGTTTGACAAAAATCCTGCACAGAGAAGTCGTCCATGACCACCATAGCTCCCTCACTCCTTCACAAAGCCACTGGACCCAGAATTGTCCAGAGGGAGGTTTGAAGGCGTTGTTGAAGAGTGGCCTAATGAACCAAGGTCCCGGTGGATGGCGTCGATCCGTCGTGTCTTCTGTGAGTGTTTGTCCGCTGGTTGGTCTGGTGCGCGATTGACCAGCGAGATCTTCAGGTCACCTCGTTCCCTCTCAGAGATGGAGCTTTATTTTTCTGATTGACTGTGTTTGGTTTACTGCTTCTGACGTTGTTGCTCGCCCTCGGTTTGGCTGGACGTCTACCATGTAATATATGATGGCGTTTCCATAAAGGTCAGACGTCTAGGTTCATTATTTAAGGGATGCAAAGGTTGTAAAAATTACAAGAACTGATTGTCACATACCATTTGAACCCTTTTCCAAAATTAAAAAAATGAAAAATTTGCGCAAATTATCAAATTTATCCAAATGTTTGAGTTTACTGATCTAACTTTGAGTAATGATTTTTCCATACAGTTTTCATAAATAATGTGACTTATCTCTTTGAAACTTTTAGTCCAGATAATGTTATTCATTGAATCAAATTAAAGAATAAGATTGAGTAATTTGACATAATATCTTTGTGAAGATCTATTTTATTATCCCTTAACGCAATCGAATGAGAAAGGATTAGTGTTTAAAATAAACAGCGTAAGCAAATTGAAAGATGAACAAAACATTACCACAATAATGTGATTTTGAAATGATATGATTTGATATGAAGAAAGATAACCGAAATGAGTTGGTGTCATGATAAATCTAAATCATTTGCTGTTTTTCACCATAAAGATTACATTTCTGTATTCGTGTTGAGAATTAATGGGCATATGACAATATCGAATGATGTTCAAACAGAAATTCCGTACCTAAGCATATTCCACCAACAATTATACATTAAGACAGAAAAATCGTATACATATACATTCCGTGACGTAGATAGGCTCGGCCTACACAACCTAGGGTCTTGCAGTGGATATTCTGTTTCCAAAGTTGTGTACAGAGTATGTTGTCAATATTACAGTCGCTCTGGTTCCGAGCGACTGTAAGTGCTCGGACCAGAGCATTTAATTAAGGAATTTTAGGCTGTCTCACTAATTAAAACTGGATCAGATACCATACAATAACTCTACATTCAATAAAGTGCCTCTGCGACATCATATTGTAAGAAGCAGCTATTAATTTGGAAAAAACCCAAAACATCTAGCTTGCTTGTAGCCATGGTCATCTTCACTTGGGTGCTTTGTCTTCTCATTGAGATAAATTTATTATTTTTTAATGCTATTTTTTAATACTAATTTTTTTTAAAATTAGTTTTTCATTGAAATCTTTTACAATATTACGCCATACTTTTTTTCTATTTTGGATATACCTTGAAGATTTAAATCATAATGCCTGATTTATGTAAAAGATTATTAGCGGGAAAAAACATGAATTTACTCCACATACTAATTTTATCAAACAATGCCCATCAATACTCTGAATAGTTTTGAACTTGAAATTTACTTTTGAAACATGCAAGTTATGAAATAAATCTTCAGAATTGAATCAAACTTTTATTCCCAACACAACTTTATTAGACCTAAAAATTTCTCTTGTCCCAAATCATATTAAACTAAAATCTTAGGTTTAGAAAACATCAATGTCAAACACTTGAAGCCATTACTCGTTTGTAACACTCATGAACAAACACATCACTTATTGAAGAGGTATTAACTTGATGTGACCCCATTGGAAACTAAATTGTTTACTATGACCCTCTAAGTTTTGTTTTATCTGATGTGACTTACCGAAGTTACACGTCATGCATGTTCTTGTTTCAACGGACAGTGCAGGCAGTGGAACTATGATAGCAAGATTATTCTCGTCGTCCATCATTGAATTGCTCAAATCTCCACTTATTGCAATCGCACCCGCACACTTCTTCGTTTGAGACTTCCCCATAGCATCCAAATTTGTAAAATTATCTGACACCCAGAATTCACAAGTCCTCCGCTACACTCCTTGTGACATTCTTTCATAGATTCCACACATCCGCCGTTGTTCACTGAATCAAATTTTCAACAGCTCAAAACTCACCACCTCTGTGCGCTTGTGACAATATTTGTTTTGCGATAACAAATTGCAGATCGATGAAATGTGACCTTTGTGATTTGTGATCGCTGAGGTTCATTAAAGTTTGCATATGATGCGAGCTTTAGTGTACAAGAACACCTTGTAGAATTTCATGACGATGTGTCGTCGGTGGATTCCCATCGGGTAAAACAAAACTTGATGCGTTCCATCAAACACTTTAGGTTTTGATGGGGTCTCATCAAGTAAATACCTCCTTATTGCATGGAAAAACTTACATTGGTGATCATATATCTTGTGCACAAGAACCTCCTTATATGCTTCGGTTAATTATATTGTCATGAAGATTCCATGTTCAAGCATCCTTTATCTCAATTTTAAGATTTACACATTTCTCTCATTCTATTCATAGTTTTTTCTCAGTACATATTCTTTCCTACCAAGTTTGGGAACATTAAAATTCTAATTTCTTTTACTTTTTCTTCTATTTTCAAAAATATTCTCTAATCTCTTTTTTTCTTTCTCTTGATTTCTTATGTTTTTACATATGCTCTTTAATCCCTAACTTTATCTCTAATGCACTCTTTCTTCTTGTTTTTTGATAGGGAATTTTGTACATAGTATCGAATGAGATTTAGTGATTCATGCATAAGTATTTCAAATTAATGCTCATAATAAGCTATAAAACAATTCTTGAGCCCAAGAATTTAAAATAACAAGACGTCAGACTGAAAAGGATCACATTCTTATGATCAACGTACTAATCTCAGGTTTAAATCCTTGCCAAAACATTATAAATACAAATGATACATGAACCAGTACAGTAATTTCATTTCAAATGACAACCAATAAAATGTCTAGTTCTGTATTAGTTTTTTGCATCAAAACCACAAGCATTACTAAGAGTTCTAAAGTTTGACTCAAATGAACATAACTATGATTTAGAAATAAACAATACCTCATGAACATTGGTGTTGTAATATGTAGATGTTGACAATTATGATCAAATAATAATTAGCAATTTTTGAGCATAGGAACATACTATATAATGATAAATAAATCTGATTGAATAAA